GTTGACTTCTTTCAAGTGTCTATGACATGCTTTTTGGTTTGCTATATGGAATCTACTCAAGACCTTGATATGGAAATAGAAAAAAAAAAAAACAAAGACAAAAACAAAGACAATAAAAAAAGAAACATCGTTGTTTTTTCGCCACGTTTTACCCATCCGAAAACGTAAAATATCACTTCCAGTTGGGTCAGAAACCGCGGGATTAGGATCTGGGACTATTCAGGCTGTGACGTCAAAACAAGAACGTACGTGGACACATTTTTCGAACCAAATAAACAGAAACGAATAAAAAAAAAAGTGAAATATACTTGGAAGATCAAGTATAATTCCAATTTGGTTCAAAATTGTAAACATTTACGAAAGATATATAAACCTAGTTCTAGTTCTAGTTCCGGGTCCTAGCCCCGCCCCGCGGTTTCTTATTCAACCGGAAGGGAAATTTCACATTTTCAGTTGGTTAAAACACGGGGAATAAAAAACGTTATCCATTTTGTATTTTTTCGATTTCCATATCATGATCTCATGTAGATTCCATAAAACAAATAAAAGAATATCCGTCATGTACACGTTAAAGGCTTCAGTCAAAAAATGGGATTATCTTTCACGTTTAGTTAGGGAAAGAGACGACGGCAACGGCAACGAGAACGTCACCAATCAAAAAGTTCAATGTGTAGAACAGTGGCTGTGCACGAGCGTTATAATTCGTGGTACATTTCTTTGCCGTCCTCTGCAAATCAACGACGTGAAATGACCAATTTTCAAGTTTTTTGACAACGGGACCCACTACTGCTAATTTCTAGTGTTTCTATTTGGAACTGAACGCATTCCTAGTATATTCAGCGGAGGCAAGTTTTAACACCAACAAACACACCAAATAGATCTAAATGGACGCGAAATTGCAAAGTAAAAGATAAACACACTTTTTAATAGGTGTCATCTTCACTGTCGCCGTCGTACATGCGTAAGGTCCCTATTGAGTCGAGGACGGGGGACGAGATCAGTATTTAAGGCAGATACAATCTAACCTTT